AGATGTCACCCCGACCCCTGTTCAGCCCAGATGTGCCTGAATATACCCCGAAGGGGTATATACCCTGAACATACCAGAAGGACGGCCCCGGCTCCCTCTGTGCGCCCTCACTTACCCCTTGGCTGGTGAGACTTGCTAACCCCCTTCTGAGCCGCAGTGCCTGGTCCAGGGCCAGCCCGGGCAGGTCTGAGGATGCCGGGTCTTGTAGGAGAGGGGAGGGGGCCCAGTTGCTGGAAAGAACATCTCGACCTTTCAACAGACGGAGTTATTTTATCCCACTTCCCTGGAGCCGCTGATCAGAGGATACATTTAATTAGCTTCCTCAATTAGCAGGAGGGGGACGGCGTTATCTGGGCTTCACGAGGGTCCTGATAAGAGTTTGCAAAGCCTGGAGCAGGGCTTGCAGGATGATGGCTCCCAGCACGTCGCAAGCATCAGGCCTTCTATGAGGTCCGAGGCCCCCACGGGTTTTTCTTTTCCTCCCACGTCGAGACCAGCACCCCCGAAATCTGGGAGAAGAAACCTAATGTCCCGGGGGTCCTTCCACACGAGATGATTCTCTTAGTCCAGAAAACGCAGCGGGTTTACAGCCTTGTTCCGAGCGTCCTCCGATCCGAGGCATGAAACCACGGGCTCGGTCCCGCTGCAGGAAGAGCGATGGTGAAAGACAAAGCGCCACCTGTCTGGTCGCCGGCGAGATTAGCTCCCACGACTTGTGTTAAGTCACTCGTGCCGGGAAGAGCTCGGCAATTTGTGTTCCCGTAAAAAGGGAGAGAAGCCACCGGCGCTGGAAACAGGGAGAAGGTGAAATCAACTTCCCCGACAAACGCGCTGTTCTGAACGTACACGGAGCGCGGCCGTAGGAGGGTTTCCATCTCAAGATCTTGCTTAAGGGAAACGCGTTGCGGTTTACCCCACAAAGGAGTAGAAAATGCGTTTTCCCAAACCCTCCACTGTGTTATTCTCTTAAAATAACATACGCAGTCGTGCGTGGCTTCAGGTGATTCTTGTGTCATTCAGACGACCGGGAGTTTGTGTTCCGGGTGTCAGACGTGACGCTGCGTCGTGAGCTTCTCGCTGTCAGAAGCCCCTCGGGACCTCCCCCTCGGGGCCAGCACTGCCCACACAGCAGTGACAGGACGTGATGACCCCGTCCGAAGGGCGTTGTCTGTGATGCTCCTTGGTTGCTGGCCACGGTCAACCAGTGTTGTCTTGATCACCCCCCACCCGCTCCAGGGCGTCTGCGCCTCCCCCTGCGGTCTGTCCCCTGCCCCCCACAGGCGGACCCGTCTCCGTCCTGCCACTACCTGCGGGACCTCCGTGAGGGCCCTTCCCTTCTCCTCGTGTCGTCTCTGCAGCTGACCTCGGCTCTCCTGGAGGCCTTGGGTACAAGCTACGATGACGACTCGCACATGCCCCACCCACCGCCCCCCAGGACTATGCCTGACGCGGCCTCCACCCTCCCCAGGCAAGTGTTGGGAGACAAAACCCAGCAGTAGACGTGAAGGTCTCCGGGCGTGCGAGATGCTCGGGGAGCCGCCGCGGCCTGTCGGACGCACTGCGGAGCTGCGGCACAGGTGCCGCAGGGGCGGGTTGTGGGGAGGAGGCAGGGGAGTGTAAGCTCGAGACAGGGTTGTTCCAGGCAAGACCAGCTTCCCTCGAGGGGACGTGCAGGGCAGCTCGGTAGAGACCACGACCTCCTCTTCCTCTGGGGGACGGAGAAGCCCGTGTGTCAACCAGCGATTCCCGACGGAGCCGGGAAGATCCACGTTTCTGGGGGAGGCCAGACCGCAGCTGGGTGAGGATTAAACCCTGGTTTGGTGACTTGGCCTGGCCCCAGTAACGCCATTGGGGCCTGCGGTTTTCTTTTCAGCAGCAGTCCCGGCCACGCGGCCACAAACGGCCCAGGACGTTCCCCTGGTCCCCGGCCAGGATCACGCGGCCTGAATGACGCCATCACCCAGCCCGGCCGCCGGCCGGAGACTCAGGAGTCGTCCTGGGTATTTCCTCCCTCCTCCCCATCCCACACCCCGAACCAACCAATCTGTGGCCAAGCCCGGTCACCTTCCGGGGTCTTGTCCCAACCTCTCCACGGCCCTCCCCACCCGCCACCAGGGGCCACATGGAGGGGCGAGCCCTGCACAGAGGCCACAACCCCGGGATCCCCCACCAGCCCCTGTCCCCGTAGGTCTCTCCCAGCTGGTCCACACCACTTGGAGCACTTGCTAAAATACAGATGTGATCACTTCGTTCCTTTGCGTAACTGCTCTTAGGGCCAGGCCTGGCCTACATCTCCCCAAATCACGCTCCACTGTTTCCTGAATGTCCTGGCCTCTCCCACACCCTCTCCCACAGCTCCAGGCACGGTGGCCGTCCCACGGGGCTACTCGGACCGCCACCCTCTGCGACCCGCAGCCCTCACCGGTGCGCAGTGCTCCACTGCAGTGCCCTGCCCTGCGCCCTCCAGCATCGGGACCCCGCCCGCCCCCGACTGGGACCTCTGTCCACCGACACACTCGGATCCGGACCGGCCCCTCCACAGCACGCGCCGCAGGCTGACGACTGACATTTGTTGTCTGAGTCTCTGTCTTTGACGGTGTCCACGTCGTAAGGGTAAGAGTTCGTCCCCCTCCTTCTCGCTAACTTGCCGACATCCACGACCCCTCGGCTGCTGGAGCGCGGTCAGGGCTCACTGAGCGTTCGCCGGAAGAATGAGACGCCCACCAGCACGGTGTAATGCAACTGGCGTCCTTTCAAGGACCAGTACATGTAGCCTATTTTACTTTTGGGTTTCCCAGGTTTTGCTATTATAAAATGCTCTAATAAACACCTTTAAACATAAAACTGTCTTTCTCTTTAAATCAGGTTTTCAAAAATAAAAGCTTTTGTGATATGCTGCCGAAGTGCTTTTGCAATACCCGTATTCTGCCTTAATAGGATATGGGCATTTTGCCAATTTGATTTAAAAAAAAAATGAGCTTTTCTTCGCGGAAAGTGAAGAGCTGTTCACAGTTTGGAGCTCTGTTTCCTCATCAGTGACAATTCACGTTCTGCAGCCCCTGTTTATTCAACCAGTCAAGTCTTAACCTCTGTTTAAGGTTTTATTTCTTTATTTCAGAGAGGGAGAGAGAAAGCAAGCGTGAGTGGGGGGGAGCAGGAGAGGGAGAGGCGGACGCCCCGCTGAGCAGGGAGCCCCCATGTGGGACTTGATCTCGGGACCCCGGGATCAGGATCCGAGGCGAAGGCAGACATTTAACAAACTGAGCCAAGTCTTAACATTTTTTAAATGAAACGATGAGATTTTAGCATTAAGGGTAGGTCAGGCCTGTTTTATGCAAACTGTTTTTCCCAGTTTGTCTTTCCAGTTTTTGTGATGTTTGATTTTATTAGATACTTGAACATATTCTGTAAAGTTTTTGGCCTTTGGAAACTTTGTGAGTTCTTACATTGTTTTTATATCTGCAAGTTGTTCCGAAAGTGTGTGCTTTCTTAGTGTTCGTATCACCACGAACGTGCTGGGAAACACACTGCTCTGCACCGCACACCTACTGTATCAGGAACCGTGGGGTGTGACCCGAAATCTGTGTTTCAACAAGCCCTCCGAGTGACTCTCCTGCAGGAGAAAGTTTGGGAGCCCTGGTCAAGAAGGGCCTCTTTCACCTAAGGTTTCTTTGGAGCTTTTTGTGTCATTTAACTCTTCGTAGTATTTAGTATAAAGAACATAACTGAATTATTTTTCTTCCAACTTCCCATTGATCTATGATGCTTCTCTTATGCTATATTGGTTTTAATACACATTCAGGGTTCGCTTTTTTTACAGCTTTATTGATATATATTGATATATGCATGTATCAAAAAATTCACCCTTGTAAAATGTATAGTAAATACTCAGTATTTACCCAAAGTGTGGAGGCCGAGAAAATTAAGGCCATCCCACCTCAAGTTTAGCTCATGTAGGAAACAGAGGCAGAAGAAAATCATTAAAATTCCTCACCTACTGACAAGCCCTTGAAACAGACAGAGTGGCTGTCCCCTGGGGACTTAACTGCCCTCACCTTGAGGTTTCGCTAAGGACAATCCTAGCCTGACCGACCCCCCCTACCCCGACAGGTCCGACCAGAATCCTGGTCTGGTTAAACGTCAACATTTTTTAAAAAAATATTTTATTTATTTATTTGACAGACAGAGATCACAAGTAGGCAGAGAGGCAGGCAGAGAGAGAGGAGGAAGCAGGCTCCCTGCGGAGCAGAGGGCCTGATGTGGGGCTCGATCCCAGGACCCCGGGATCATGACCTGAGCCGAAGGCAGAGGCTTTAACCCACTGAGCCACCCAAGCGCCCTAAATGTCAAAATTCTAAAATTCATTGATTTTAGTCACTTTGCCTATATTTTCTTTGTTTGAGAGGGGAAATGGGTTCGCAAAGGTCCTTACCGTGGTTGAAAAAGAGGTTGAGGATGGTCCACAGCCCTGCGAGTTGTACCGCTGGCCTCCCGCTCAGCCCGAGCACTTGCTTTTCTAACACTTCATTCTACTTTAGGGTGCTTTCCCATCTTGTTCACTGGACACTAACCCATCTGGGTGTCAGTGAGATCTTGCCTCAGTGGCCTGCACCAGTCCAGTCTCGTCTGTCTCCTCAGTCACCGGAACAGGAGACCACACATGAGTGTGGACGTGCGTTCGAGAAGAACGAAGGGTTTCTGGGATGCTTTGCCACCAGCCCCTGCCACGTCGCTCGCATATGAATCCCGAGCCTGGTTTTCCGCTGAGTGAGGAGTCAGGTTTCGTTATCTGGGAATTTCACTTTAGCAGAAACCAGAGGGTTTACAACCACAGGTGACACATAAAGAAGAGGTCAACTCTGATCGGGTTTCGAACCACGGGACTAGAAGCATCTTTAAAATAAACACTCAAGAGGAAATTCTAGTCTTTAGAAAAGATTTTATTAATTAAATTTTTAGGATAGAGAATTTTTTTAAATAACTATGATATTTTAAAAAATTATTCAGTATTTAATGACGTTTTCAATTAGAAAAACCTTGAACCCTAAGAACAGACTGTGCACAGCGGAGGCTACCAGAGGGGAAAGAAGGTGGGGACCAGCTCTGTGGGTAAGGATGGGGCTTAAACACTGACTTTTTAAACCAAAAGCAAACCGCACCCGGTCTCAAAGCCTGTCTGGGGACTCACTCCTGCAGGGCACCACAGGGCACGCCTCCACGGGAGAAGCTCAGACGCCACCGGGGCCCTCACTCCTTCTGAGGCGATCTGATCTGCACGAGGAGGGAGGCGTCGGGACTTTTACATCCGCTCGATGTCATAAAGGGCTGGGACGAAGCAAAAATTTAATGTAATCTGTGCAGTATCAAAAACAGTCTAGAATTAACGGCAATTTGAATGACTCCCGGGAGGCGTCATTCCAGACACAAAGCAGGGCAGGCGGCCCGGGAGGGAGCAGGTCCACTTGCCTCGGGGGGGACAATCCACAAAGGCCCAGGGCCCAGGAGGGGAAGAGGAACACGTACTCGCTCCCTACAACAGACCAGGACCAGCCTTCCGGCCTCTTACAAGTTATAATTCAAAGCCATCAGTCTCACTCTGAGGACAGTGCGCTTGCCCTGCAACGGTCCTCTGGGGAGTCCGGTCAGGAGAGGCCTGGGCTCCGGAAAGCAATGGCGGAGCTGCTGCCTCCCCAACCCCGGACGTGACTCGCGTCCCCATGAGCCTTACAGCCTCCTCTGCGTGAGACAGATCTTGCTAATGTGTCCTTGGAAAAACCTCGGTGGGGGGCGGGAGGGAGAACCCTCTGGGGCCGCCAGCGCTCGTCCTTCAGCGCCCCACAGCCAGATAATCTCAACATCCGGAAATGTCCTTTGACTTGTTCTTTCTCTGATATCTCGTGTCCTTGGGATCAAAGCCTCTTTCGCGGGCACCAAACACGGCCCAGCGCGGAGTTCTGGCCGTATAATCCTGTGCGCCGAAGGTGGCCGAGCCCCCGCTGTCTTCGTACTCCCGCACCAGCTCCTGGAAGCGGTCATAATCGATCCACGTCCACCACTCGCCGCCGACCTTAAACTGGAGAAGAAAAGTGCAGTTGGGTCAGAAGGAGAAACATCCATTAAACAATAATCACAGTAAGTATTTTAAAAATTCAAAAATAAGCCTGAATTTCTCTTCGCCTATCAAGTGGAAGAAGATGCTTTCACACTCAGATACGGCTCCGCGGCAGAGCAGAGCATGGCACGCCGCTGTGCTGGGCTGAGGGGAGAACTCGCCCCGGAACCGCACGTCAAGTTCATCCCAGCAGCGTCACTGAAAGAAGGTTAATTAAACTGTTCCGGCTTTATCAAGTGTTAATGGATGAGCTGATTTCTAACTCCTGCTGTTGCCACTTTTTATCTGCCGTGAATTTGCCTGTTTCTGTCAGCAGCACCCGGGGGCCCCGTTTTATTATTAAGCTCGGCCGGAGCGATGGGGGAAGCTTTAGCCAACGACTTCTAATTCCGAAACGCGGACTAAATGCTCCAACTGGCCCGGTTAACCTAACATGAATACAATACCTCGTTAGTGGAAGGCTCGTTAAGGATTTCAATTCACTAAAGGGAATAATCCAGTTTGGACTCTTCAGAAAATTGCTTCTCAAAAGTCATTGTCGAACGATGACCAGGAATGAAGAAAACAGAAAAGGAGTCGAGGAAGCTCCGAAGGGATCACTCATTGCACTACGAAGGCTTCGGACTCAAAGCCGCTCTTCTGGAGCTCCGCGTGCGAATACATAACACCCAGTGCCCGATTTATAACGGAAAAGTCATCCTGGAAGCTGCTGTCTTCTAAAACCCTGATTATGAGCCAAGGGAAGTAACAATTTCGTGTTCTAGCTGAGAAAAACGCTGAAAATGTAGAGCTGCCCGGATTCGGAATATTAAAATGTGCTGAACTTCAACGACATCTGATTCTGTTACCCAACAGCTAAGAGGTTTCTAGTGGGGAAGAAAGACCAAATAAATGGCAAAGCTCAGTCCGTCCACGAATCCTGAGAAATTACCTTCTGAGAAGACCGTTCTCTGGGATGTGCCCCGGGCCTCCAGGAGCGCTACACCCTGTGATAGCAAAATCCGCGGCCCCCACACCGTTCTCCCTCCGGGGACAGGCGCTCCCATGTCCTCCGCTGCCACGAAGGCCACCAGTCAGCCCTGGTACGGAGCCTCCGAGCTCCAGAGGTAAAGGAGCCGCACCGCGCCCGGGCCCTCACACCTGCACGCCGTCCGGTCCCACGACTCCTCGTGAGCAGCATCTCTGTGGTCCTGACACAGGCCTGTAGCTCGGGCCCTCGTTCCCGGGACCCCGCGACAGCGCCCCTGCGGACGGGTCTCCTGATCCCCGTCCGGCCGCCCCCACCCCCCGCAGACCGAGACTCCGAGCTCCCGGCGCCTACGCGGAACGAGCCCCATGACTGGGAGCCTCCCGCGTAAACACCAAACCTCCGTCTGAGGCTCTCCACGAGCCGACCGCCCTCCCACAGACTCCCGTCCTACTCCCTCCGTCTGACGAACCCCGCCTCGTGCCTCATGGCGCCTCACACACGCCCCTGCTCTGGGAAGTCTTCCCGAACCCCTCAGACGGCGACGGTGCACCCGCCGCAGGACCTCACTCCCCCGACCTTGGCCAACAACGTACTAGCATCGCTTCTGTAGTGACCTCCCCAACCCCCGGCCCGACACTACTACTGTCGCCTCTGTGCCTGTAGCGGACTCGTCGTTTATGAATTCATGCTGGCACTGCGGGGACACAAGGGCCCGTCCCCGTCCCCTGACGTCTAGCAAATCCGGAAGGCCACACGGTGGAGGAAACTTCCACCTACGCTACGGACACCCGGGGATGCGGCGCTGCTGTGGGCGCCGTGGCACAGAAAGTGCGGTTTTCGCAGTGTCGCCACAAGAGGAGGCGCCACGCTCACACCTTACTGCAGCCGGGTGACGCTCCGGGTGACGCTCCGGGTGACGCTCCGGCTAGCGGGTGTCGCTCCGGGTGACGCTCCGGCTAGCGGGTGTCGCTCCGGGTGTCGCTCCGGGTGACGCTCCGGCTAGCGGGTGTCGCTCCGGGTGTCGCTCCGGGTGACGCTCCGGCTAGCGGGTGTCGCTCCGGGTGACGCTCCGGCTAGCGGGTGTCGCTCCCGGTGACGCTCCGGCTAGCGGGTGTCGCTCCGGGTGACACTCCGGCTAGCGGGTGACGCTCCGGGTGACGCTCCGGCTAGCGGGTGTTGCTCCGGGTGACGCTCCGGCTAGCGGGTGTCGCTCCGGGTGACGCTCCGGCTAGCGGGTGTCGCTCCCGGTGACGCTCCGGCCGACGCTCCGGCCAGCGCAGGAGCAGACGCTGCCACTCCCGGGTGTGACGGTAAATAACGACGGCTACCTTCCTTCCTCCCGCCTGAGGCAGTTACGGAGAGTTAACGATGGCCTTGGCCCAGTCGCAGACATTTAAAAAATGATTATAATCTAACGTGGTGTGTTCGGGAGTCAGGTTATGCGAGTGCAGAGGAAGATGTGGTAAGTCACTCCCATGCCCCCAGGAGCTCGGCCCTACTGGGGACGCTCTGCTTTGCTTGCTGGGTGAGACAGATAGCGGAATTCTCGTCCCATGCCTCTCCCTGCGGACGTGAGATCTCTAGGTCTCTTCTGGATTCCAAAGGCTGACGCTGCGGGGTCCGTCGTCCTGGTCTTCCTTTTCCCTCAAACTCCAACAAGCATCACGTGCCACGGGTATTCCAACAGGGACTAAAAGTCTAGCTTAAACTACAGCAGCAGACATAAAATCTTTTTTCATCACAACTTAAAACAAGAAATACATTTTGCATCTCAGTCTAGTACACACACACACACACACACACACACACACACGTTCTGGAAACACAACTTTCACAAACCAACGGCGATGATTTCTTTAAAAAAAAAAAAAAAAAAAAAAAAAGGAAGTCACTTGCGGTAGGCGGCTTGGTTCCCTGACCCCTGAGGCGGTGACGATCTGGTCCCCTCTGCCGGTGGGATTCTGCGCTGGCTTAAAACGGAGGACGCCAGCTGTGCAGACACAACAACTGCAAGCTAACGTTCTGACCACGGATTGCTAACCTCGAAGAAAAGCGGGTGTATTAGCTGTTCGGTATCTACTGTAACCGGATACCACAGACTGGGTGGCTGACGCGGCAGATACTGGTTTTCCAACCGTCCGGAGGCTGGAAGTTGAAGACGAAGCTCCCGGCAGAAGCTGTGGCTTCACCGGTTCCCTTCTCAGTGTGTGTGCGGGGGTGTCTCTTCTCAGGAGGATACGACCCCACCAGACCAGGGCCCCACCTTTATGACCTTCATTTAACCTTAATTATCTCCTGAGAGCCCTCGTCTTAAATACACACCCCCTGGGGGGGTCAGGCTTCAGCATGTGAGTTCTGAACGGACCCAAATCCTCAGTCTAGAACAGTGGGTGACCCTCAACTTAACGCCAAGCCACCAGACTCCTACGACAAAATGAATCTATTTGTGCCCCCTCCGAAGACAATCAGAATAATTCTAAATAATAACTCAGAAAAAGTCAAACTGTTTCTGGGAAAAGGCGGGAGCTGAAAGAGCGAGCGCCGGCACGCCGGCGGGGACACGTGCTGAAAGACAGAGACGCACAAACCAGAGTAGAACCGCAAACCACAAAACCCGAGGGTCAGTGTGCCGAGACGGGACGCCACTTGCTTCCGGAACTCCTCAAACCCGGCAGAGTAAGGGAAGAGGCAACTCTGTGCAGAATTACAGACACACTCAGAAGCTCAAACACACACAAGCACAATGAGGTATGGTTAAAGCCGGCCCTGCTGAAAGCGCTGGGCTCCGCGGCCTTGCAGGGCAGGCGGGCCAGGGCTACGGTCCCACCGTCCACAACAAACGGCAGCTACCGGGGTCTCACCTCATTATTTTCTCTTTCACAGCGGGAAAATGTCACTGAACAGAATAATGGCAAAGAGACTCTTTATTACTTTAGTGTCTAAAAGGAGTCCATCCAAGAGGACAGAAAAACACATGCCTGTACTTCGCTTCTTGAAATCCCACGAGGGTGACACCGAAGCTGTGTCTGCGAGATACATAAACCTGTAAACGTAAAGAGATCAGGAGAGGACAAAACAGTATCAAAGTTTTAGAAGCTGCAAGAATGAGGGATGGGCGGTAACTGGCTTAGCAGACCCTAGGGCACTGCGTCTAAAACCAGCAAATCCTGGATTCCACCTGACTTATGCCTCAGAATTCCCCACAGGCCTGGGAGCTGGTGGCACAGTCACCTCGGGAAGTAGGGGCAGAAGAAGCACCAACTTCAACCCACACCCTCAAAAAAGCCCCAACTGTTAGAAACTGTTAGAATCCCAAGTTCCCTCCATACCGCTGAGCAGCTGCCCAACCATCCTCCCCAGCAGAAGACAGGAGGCTTATTCTCATAAGACAGTAAGAGGGAAAACCCATGGACTATGGGGTAGCAGGAAGAACTGAGAACAGGGCTATCATATCAGAAACGAGAGTTCAGAACAGCCCTGTTCCCTGCCTGCTTCCCCACCCCCGATAGTCATGCAGCCTGGGGAAAAAAGGTGACCCTTCCGGCCAGCCCAAGAGGACTGACTGAAAAGTACTATTTGGGTTTTCCCCAAGGCAATGACTCAGATAGATTTCTCTAAGATAAAGTCAAGCCCAGTCCATACGCTTAGGACTTTCAATACATTTTTTAGTTTCCCACTTAAAGATGAACAGAGAACTAACAAGAGTACTAAAAGTAAGCCAAAGGAAAAAAGTAACAGAGGAAAGAGAGCATAGGCAAGGAGAAAACAGCAGACTAAATAAGATAAAAACCCAAACAACTGAACTAAAGCAGTTGTCCTCAGAAAAATAAGACAATACTGTATCCACAAAAAAGTTGCTATACAAAAGAGCACTCAAGGAATGAAAAGAACCTTAGACTTTAAAACTATAGGAGCAAAGATGAAAGGTTCACAGTAAAGTAAAGAAAAAAAATGTTAAGAGAATTTCCTAGAATGTAGAGTAAAAAGACAG